AGCGGCGAACTCGGGCCCATAACAGGAGATCTTGGCCGTTGGCGCCCCTCCAAACACCTATATCGGAGGGTGCGCTGGCGTTATAGAATCAGACATTACGTTTTTGATTGGATGCAATTGCATTCCGCAGTTTTTAGGCAGGGGAATGCTTGCTTCCCCCACGATAAGATCTGCGACGGTCGGGACGATCCCAAGTCCTACAGTGTTTTAGGACCGGGAATGCTCTCGGTGTAGCATAAGCTGTGCTAACCGCCGTACTCAACCGACCGGGGGAAAACTAAGCGCGCGCGTGCGCAACCCGTCGGCCGAGCGGCCGACGGCTGTTAAACCTCTAAAACCCTGGCGCTGAGGCGTCAGCTAGTTTAGAAGACGTTACATAATTTCGTGGCGTTAGACCCTCAATTGAGTGGTCGTGTTTGTTCAAAAGCAAGAGGAGGCGCCTGGCGAGGCGCCCTCTAGGGACGAGAAAATGTAATTTTCGACCCACCCACCCACACCTATAAAAAGAACCAACGTTCTTACCTGTTTTCGGCCTTCACTAGTTCCAACGCCACACTTCCGGTTCCAGCCCCGCCTACAATAGCAAGGCTTGCAACGCTTGCACCCTCTTTCCCAGGAACCTCCAGCGCCCCGCAACGCCATTCTTAATAGCACCAATCTACATGCTTCAATTCGCCCCACCCTCCTCTCCCAGGTCGCTATGACGCTCCTTGCCTGAAACGGCCAGTACTGCAGTAGTCAGTACAGTAGTCAGTGAGTCCAGTGACACTGCCACTGACCACTCTACTGCAGTGCCATAATGCAGCCAGTACTGCTCCGCAATACTCCACTGACCACCAAGTCGTTGCAGTCATCGCGCGCATTAAATGCGCGCAACCTGGCTGGACCCGCCCGCCGGCGTACCCTCAGACCGCGTTGACCCACAGTCCCCGGGCCAACAGCGCAGCCTTCGGCCGCATACGACGTTATCTCCGTGCCCCGTAGCCGCATCCCGGCGAACTCGGGCCCTAAACAGGAGATCTTGGCCGTTGGCGCCCCTCCAAACACCTATATCGGAGGGTGCGCTGGCGTTATAGAATCAGACATTACGTTTTTGATTGGATGCAATTGCATTCCGCAGTTTTTAGGTAGCAACCGTACGTTACGGTGGTACCAATAGGGAAAGAAATGTACCAGTAGGTCTGCCTAGTACACGGAGCCCGGGTAGGTACCTAAAACTCGACCGGCCGAGGCGCGAAAGTACCGGAAAGTTTCCGAAAATCTTGCGATTCTGCATGATGCACTCAGTACCTGCCGTCGCGCACAAGGGTCTCAGTCAAAATTCACCTATATAAAATTAAAGTGTACATTGAAGACCCACGGCCGTTCGAGCCCCGGGGGCCCGGTTCAGAAGTTCAGGGTTCAGAAGAACCCTGAATGAACCCCGAATGAATAGTCACTTGACGTTCATTCAGGGTTCATTTCTGGAAGCCCCCGGTGGGCTGCCCCCCGGGTTCACTTGGACCAAAAAGCTAACACTGAAGTTTAACCACAGATCATAGGCTTATATTCCAGAAATTCAGGATTCAGGAGGAGCCTGAATGAAGTCTGAATGAATGATTGAAAATCTTCAAACTTTGCGTACAGGTCCGGTACGTACCAAAGGACATACCGTCGTACCTGTAACAGTACCGTACCGTAGCATGATTCGAATACCGTACCTACGGTACCTCTGAGTGGTACAGAGGCACCGTGGTACCGTACGGGGCCCGTACTAACTGGAATATGAAATTGATGAATCTTCAAAGAAGATTCGAAGGTTGCGCGAAACGCGCCAAGTCTTGCAGTCGAGCGTTTATGGTCTTGTCCAGATAGCGCGCGATGGATTTCAGGCGCGCATTGGCTCTGCCTGAAGGAATCCAAATGAAGCCCCAAAAATGGGTGTTCAGGCCGCCACCGGCACAGTATGCAAGCATGGGTCCAAGCAGGAGCATACACTGATGCTGGACATGAAGGACGGTGGGGGGTGGCCTAATGGTGCTAGAGGCAACAATGAAGCTGAGCCGCAGCATGTACTGAAGCGCACAGCACTGAGTGGCGATCTGCGGCGGCATTAGCCAGACATTGCCTTCAGCTTCCTCACGAACGAGACGAACCTCTCGATGAGACTGTCCGGACGGTTTGAGATGACGGCGCCACGTAGGGTGCAAGTCGAGAGTCTCCTAGAGCTGCGAACAGAGACGCTGCCATGACGGAAAGTTGTGAACCCCTCCCGCAACGCAGATGCGCGCCATCCTGAGGTCCCTGCTAGACCCCTCAATGATGAGCAGCTTGTCTTCTCGGGCACACAATTGCACGGCATGCGGGCTGCACATGATGCAGCGGGGGCGTCGTCATCAGCTGACTCGGATCCCAGCTTCGAGAGGGCCCCGGGACAGTGGTCAGAGAAGGAGAAGTCAAAGTGGCTGCAAGCGCGGCAAGGGCTCCCTGAAAGCGACTCGCAACCAGTGGGTGGCGATGACGGCGAGGAAGAAGAGCATGTGCGTTTTGCCGCCAAGGAGTACCTGATTGATGTGAGGCCGTCGTCGTGGTGAAAATCTAGGGTTTTAGCTTGTTTTGTTATGTGCAACTCCTCTCATGGCTGACTTTCATTGGCAGTTTGCAGCTTGCATTTTTGTGCGGACGCATCATGGTTCATCTTTGCGGTTTCTTAGGAAATCTTGTAGGGACCGACTTTTAAGCGCGTCATATCTATTTTGTAGAGGGCTTGTTTACGTACGCTGGAAGGAGCCGACTAAGCCTGATCCGAGAAGGCGTTCAGGTTTGTAGAAAACCAGAAAACAACAATCATCCGCTTGTTTGGAAAATCGAAAATTGTGGTCCCTTATCAAGATAAAGTGCAGATTTTGTATAAACCAGGTGGCTCAGAGCATTGTCAGTTGCAGCCTGCTTTCGAACTGGTGCGAAACCCGTTCTAGCATTGATGCAATTGTTCACTGACACGAGTTTGTCATGCGCAGACAAGTTTTGAGGGCCATACTACCTTCTCAAGTAGACCCATCCGCCCATCTCAAACGGCAACAACAAAATCCCGTCTGAGCTTTACCTTTGTTTTGCAGGTGCTCTTCAACGTTTTTCGCTGCCACCACCGGACGGATATCACCGACACCGAGTCCAACATGCTGGGCCAGGCAATCACGGCATACTACACGTTGAGCGACGAAGCGTTCAAGCTGTTGGGCGAGCAGTTTCGACGCTTCAACAAGGCCTCGACAGTCTGCGAGCGGATGGGCCTGAGGAAGAGCTTGAGTGAGCTTCCACTGAAGTCTTTGATTGAGTGGTCGAGAGCATTTGGAATTAATGTCGGTGGGTCTGATTGTTGGGGAGGTGCTGCTTGTCGCTGGTTGCGGGGCGGTGCAGGTTCTGCATTTTGTGAAAATGGCAGGCGTCCGCTAAGCCGCTGGGTGGCTTTTGAAGCAGTGAGCATAATTCTTAGAACTACAATGGGATTGTTAAGACATCTTAGACACACTGATTGTCCTGTGTAAGATCCATGATACAATTTGTTCGAGCTTTCCAAACTATGCAATTCTCACCCGACTTTGTGTGGCCGGAGCTTGCCCAGATCCATCTTCCAAAACAGTGAAATCAGCTGCAAATGTGTCAACAGGATAGTGACCAGGAACATCATCATAAGTGCGCCCCGAGCCTCTTGCAGGTCTACTGGGAAAAGGTGTCGGGAAGCTCATGATGATGTCGGCGCTTATCCACGTGCTCGACGAGTATGAGGCGGCGCTTGCTCTCGGGCTTGAACCTGGCGCGGCATCCACCCAGTGATCAAGAGGACGAGCGTCGAGAAGGCGCTGCTGGTCATGGAGATGTTCGACCCGCAGAAGATTACCTTCCTGGGAGAACAGAAGCTGCTCGCTGTTTACGAGGGCCGCACGCTGGACGATTATGGCGGTGCCGGGGAGCCTGATCAGCACGGGGAGCACCATGCATGGCCGCAGCTGCTGGTGAGTTTGACTATCAGCGGATTGGGTGGGTCAATCTTTGTTATGAAGAGCCGGCCTAAAAGGAGGTGTACGAATTTATCGAGGGGCCTGGACGTCAGAAGCATTTCAGAGGCGCGCGGCTAGCCCTTCTAGTTGTCAGTCAAACGTGCCACGTCGGTTCGAGGATGTGTGATCTGCTACTCGGTGTGATAGGACACGCACGTGTGTCGGTGAGAGGACAAGTAAGAAGTTCCTAACTAGAGTTCGGCAGGTTTTGAAGAAGTGCGCAGGGGCGCAACGTTGTCCTCCACAGGAAGAAAGGAACAGTATGGAACTTCATTGCAATTCGATGGCCCCTCTCATGTCGGGTTTTCTGGTTCCATTGCAGCCACCCCTGGCAAACTCTGCCGTCAAAATGCTCAAGAAATTTGCCGCCGCCGACAAGCTGCCGGTCACGACGATCAACCAGGCGGCGCCGTTTGGGTCCGGCGAGGAGCTCTAGGCGCGAAAGAACCTTGGCGCTGACGTGGGCCGCGACCTGACCCCTGTCGAGTACACGCGGCGTGTGGTCGACTACGTTGTCATGCTGGAAGAGGGCATCTCATCTTCATCTTCGGGCTCGTCGTCGAGGATCACGTTGTCGTGCCGCGTGAGTATTCTGAGTGTGGATTGTAAAGTGATTGTACCCTTTGAGTTGACAACCAGATTGGGGGCGTGGTGCATTGTCTAGCACCATTTCCTCTCTCTCATCTAATTTGATAAGTCCGTCCTGACGAAAGACCTTTCTGTTCTGTTGTTGAAGCCACCTTCGTGCACGCCCTGCCCCTAATGGAAACAAACAGATGGTTCGGAAACCGGTCCATATTCTGCGCTCGCATAATATTGACGGATCCACTTGACCATGCAGACTGTCCGGGCGCGCCGCCAAGCAAGCAAATGCAGGAGCGGGGCCCAGTATTGTGCAAGAACATTCCGGGGTCCGTTGAGGACCGGCAGAAGCTCGGGGTGGCAACTCCGGTTTTAAAACAGATGGCGTTTTTATTTTGCCTTCACCTAAAACGACAAAAAATCAAATGCATCCGATGTTTTGTTTCATGCCATCGTATAACCCTTCGTCTATAGTGTCCAAAACACTACTGGTTTTGAAATTTGGCCCCCCCCACATAAAGTAAAACGGTTTTAAAACATTTAAAAACGCCAAAAACTTAATACATGTATCTGCGGGTTAGACGGATCTCAAAATAGCCCGTTTTATAAAACAAACAGAACAGCAAAACGTTTTAAAACGCCCATAAAGTGTGTTAAAACAAGGAAAGTTGAAACCCCGAGGCCCTTATGACCTGTTTTGTTGCCGTACTATACGTAAAGATGCATGAATGCTGCATACGAGCCCCTGACAAGCCAATAACCGCCATAAAAACAAGGAAAGTATACAAATTGGACTTTTCATGCCGTTTTACAACTGTTTTAAAACGTTTTAAAAAGCCGTTTTAAAGTTCCAAAACGGCCAAACCCCTTGTTTTAATCCGCAGATACCATGTTTTAAAATTGAGAGTTGCCACCCCGAGGGCAGAAGCTGTTCGACGTGCTGCAGCGGTGCTTTGGCAACAACATTTGCATCGACGACTTCTGGCCCGGTGGTGTCAGCCCACCTCCTCGGCCGCGGGTGGTCACAGGTGGGCGCCTAGAAGAATGTCGCTCTGTGTGTTTGTTTGGAACTCTTGTCATAAGGGCATGCGCATTAATGTGATATGGGAAGACGAGATGTGTGTGCTTTCCCGCCCCTTTTTCCTGCATGAGGGATTCTTGCATGCGTCTCGGAGCTCAAGGGGGGAACGATCGAGTTGATTGCAACGTGTTTGCTTCTTTACAGATTCTGCATATTGAAAGGCGTCGTGGTGAAGTTCAGGATTGAACGGTTGGCTCTTTGGAAGCAGCCCACTACTAGTGTGCCTGCGTATTGGACAGGACAGCTGGCAGGAATTAGGAATTCATTTCCTTGTTGCACAGGAACGGTCACGTAAGCAGCAATGGCCGCCGCAATGCCACGAACGCGGGATCGACAGGATCCGAACCCGAGCGATGACAAGGATCCAGGGACGGACCGGCTTTGGACTCCAGCAACGGACGATCGCCAGGAGCCCCCAACGGCGGACAAAGCCCGAGCGTGCGCAAGAGCAAGCGCGCAAGCAGGCGGAACCAGCAGACCGTACCGGAAGCGGACACCGAACTACCAGCGAAGAGAGCAAACGGTAACTAAGTCACGCCCAAGGACTCCGAATTCAGCATTTGATGGCACCTTGTTCTGGCATCGAGTAGCATCAGGTTTGATTGTAAGCTTTCTGTCAATCCTCCGGTCACGGTCTAGACAATTGGCCCGAGCCATCCTCTAATCGTCGAAACGGCCGCCACCTCATATAAGTGGCCTGTGTCGGTCGACGCGCATCCTAACTAGATAAGCGGGGGTATCAAATCTTTCAAAGTACTACGATCAAAAGCGAAATACTCCTATGCACTGAGTCTCTGTGAACCTCTCACTCATCAAGTCCCTATAATGAGCATCCAAGTTGGGAAGACGGTCAAGATTATAGGCCCCGGACCATATTATTACGTTTTAATCCAGTATAGCAGATTGCAAGGATGCCAACTCAAGAGAATTTAGATGTGAACGTGTGCACACATACAGATATACGACGTCTGGTCCAACACTGCATGAGACAGAGCGGTCCTACTTCCAAGCTCTGGCTTTCAAATGTCGATCACATTGTGGCAGCGATCGAACCCGTGAGATTGATTTGGCCACGAACAATCAGAAAATGTAGCTTCTGCACACTACTTCCGTCCTGTCGCTGTGTGTTTTCAAGCTCAAGTCAGCTCAACAGTGAGGTGAAGCAATGCTCGACATTTAGTAGAATTTGCGGCAGTGGCGCCAGTTTTTGGGAACTTCCCCGTTACCTTGCAAGCCTGTTGATGAGGAAGCTAAGATAGGTTTTCTTGCAAAGCTTTCAACCGTTGTACCGAGATCCTGTGCAACTTCTTAGCCTCTTCGTATAATCGTTGGTCCCAGTAATTGAGCTGATTCAACCAATTCAATATGTTTGCTGGAGCTTCCGACAATCTCAGTGTGCGGTTATTGAAAGTGGTGGGATTGTATGGTACTATCTTTGGGTTGGCCAGCACCTTCATCTTGAATAGACGAGAGATAGTTGGCCCCAATTTCAACACCTCGTCTACAAGTTCAGATACAAACACGAGAGAAAAGTCATGCCGTAAGTGCGATAATGCACACTGATAGTGCATCTCCGTCACCTCCGTAAGCCCCTCAAGCGGGGTCCCTGGTTCCCGGCATTCATGCTTGTTGCAATACACCTGCTCGGCGTACATGTCGTAACGACCTATTGACGCCTCATTGCAGAGGACTCGCACCTGATGATTGCTTTTCATGTATCCAAACCGGGTGCTCAAGACAAACTCTTCCTTCGAGAAACCATCGAAAATGCCTGGATGATCTAGTATGTGGTGGTTGACGTGGCTCAGCGCTCTGGCGACCGGATCACGCACTTGAGTGACGTAGGTAAAGAGGCCCCGATGCCCGATGCGATGGACGCCGTGTGGAAAGTGTCCACTCACAAGTCGAGCACCTCGGTACAAGGTGCGCAGTCGGTCCTGCTCCGGGAATGGCAACCGGTAGAAGTTTTGCTCGTACTCATAGGATGCCGTGAAAGGGAGGCAGTCAAGAGTGACATACGCTGGGCTGCAAAGGAGAAAATGGAGAGACGCCATGGCAGACTCGAGGGAGTGTTTCATAAGTGTCGTCAGCAGTTGTCTAGCGTCCAAAAGGGGCAGCTCTGAATGGCTTAAACAGGCCTACGTCTTAGGGATTCATACACGCTAAACGGGCGTCCGGCACCTAACGCAACCGGCATCCCGCCTGGAGACTGGTTGTGTTGAAGGTCAGTCTTGATATTATCAACCTGATGACATCCGTGAAACCCTGCTTCCAATTGCATTGTTCACCACAAACCCTGTGCCACCCCACAATTGTACCCTGCGCCTCTTGCCACAGCCACAGGTTGCTCAATGTTACAGGGACAAGGCAAAGACAGGCACACAGATAGGTTCGCTCCTCTTCCGGCTTGAGGAGAGACTTGCATACGAGCTTCCAACCCTAGACCATTGTGTCATTAACGGGCTGATTTGAATGACTAACCAACCCTTTATACATTAGTTTAGAGCATCGTAGCCACCTGAGATGCCTCCGGACAGAACGGATCGAAGAAGAACGAGGACTCCCAGTCAGAGATTCGAGACCAAACCCCCCCAGCTATAGCCCTTTGGATCAACGGTCTAGAGTTGTCTTTTCGTCCGAGTCGACCATCCTTAACTTGGGGTTATGGCCAAGGGGGCTCACAAAGATTGGCAACTAGTCCGTGCTCTTCCTCTCCGTTCTGATCAAACACGACAAAGTCTCTGGTCGCAAAGGCACACGAGGCTCACTCATCCCATCCCCGCAAGTCTTGACAGCTGAGGTCCAACTGCGCACGGAGCACCAAGATGGCCAGCCGATTGCACCCCAGTTCCGGACCTGACGTGTTAATCAGGTCCTTATTGAGGTGGGGAGAGCACTCCCCAGGATTCCTTGTGTTGAATAACGCATCCAGGCCCGTGCTCCCTGTTTTCATGATGCGCAACACAAACAGGGTCGCCGCCTCGTTTTCAAATGCGCGCTTCACGCGATCGAGGGGCATTAGCAGCTGGTCTGAGTGTCCGTCGATCAGGCCCAGCGGAGGCCGAGTGGCAATCGGGGAGTAACTGCAAGGAAGGAAAGGGATGGGCATCAAAAGAGAGCATACTTGCTCAAAAGCAGGGTGCTGTTGCAGTGTGAAGCGGCGTCTGTTTTCCCCCTGAAAAACGTGTGCTGGCACTGCTACGGACTGAAGGGGCTTTGATGCTCATTTCTACTCAGAATATTGCATTAACCAGGTCACATGTACTGAACCCCAAGTTTGAAGAGCTGGACGGCCAGAGCAAGTCCAAGAGCCTGAGCAGGGCCATTCCAAGAAGACCTGCCAGCCAGTAAGGTGAGGCAAAAAAACGTCCCGCTGGGAAGAGAGCATTATTGCGTCGGTTGCACGCATTTCCACTGCATAGTATTTGAAAGGGGCAATGGAGGGGGGCGTACGAGCTGGCGTCAGAGCGACAAAATACTATGGAGAAGACAACGGAGGCACGCAGATTCTGATTTTGAAGGTAATGACCTGCTGCTCCGTTTAGCGAGTCGTAAACTACCAGAAAGTTACGACCTTGAGAAATTCCTTCAACAAATGGCCTCTTGTTTACGAACACATGCAAGCTCCCGGTCGAAGGACATGTTCCACCTTTCTTCAGTGTGATGGATGTTCAAAAACGATCTTATGTTTTCTTCAAGGTCCTCGGCTTGCTTGTGGTTCAACATCCACTCTTCCTATTATGACGGTCTACTTGAACAGGATTGGATCTTGTTCGCTGCGGAGAGAGTCAGTGGCATGGAGTATCTCGCAGATTACAGTTCAGTTGCGGTGGTTTTTCGTCAACTTTATCATCATCCATTTCGTCATAATGTTCATGCTTGCCAGGCGAAGAGCTCACCTTACAACCGCTGACCTCACAGCGCTGGTCGAGTTGAGGGACCGACAGCGGCCCCAGCGAGACGAGGAATCTAGGATATCTCGGAACCATATTTGACCACCCGGAGACCAGAGGAGCAGCACTTGGCAGAAAGTGACTGTCAGAAGGAGTAAGATGAGGAACCAGTTTCGAGACGCGCTTGATGACGCGCTGGACCCCATCTCTCAGAGTCATGCAAGGTCGATCGTCAGGGGGGCTAGGGCGCGGAACGTCAAGTGCGCATGTGACCACTCAGCCCATGTAGCTAGCTGTCAGAATGCGTGGAAGGAGAACGTGGACCAAATTCGCACTTTTTGGACCCTGCCAAGCTTTAATATCCTTTCGACCGCGCGGCGGGGCCCTGGGTCGGTGAGTGACCGTGAGTCCGAGGTCCTGAGCGTGCTAAGATTCGTACCCGGTACCTTTTACCTGAACCGCAAATACGGTAGCTGTGGTCTAGCTGTGGGAGGTACCGGGGATCGAGTGCTGGTCCCCAATGCGGCCGGGAGGAGCTAAAAACTGTGCGCCGTGCGGCGCACTGCGCAGTCCTGGGTACAAAACGGTGGGGGTCTCAAAAAGTCCGAATTTGGTCCACGTTCTCCTTCCACGGGTTCTGTCAGTGTCAGAACCGATGTCGATGGAGAACATGGACCTTCGACGCGTCCCCATGGGACCCCCAGTAATGGAGCCGGCACTTGGTGATTCCTACCGGCCAGAAGTTCCTCACGGCCTTCAAGCCGGCGGCCGGCATCGTTCCATTTGTGGCGGCCCGGTACCAAACAAGCGCCTTTGAAGGAGTTCTGAGTAGTTTTTGGCACTCCGTGCCGATTAGGGTAAGGTCATTTTGAAGCTGACCCCCTATGTTCAGTCCAGAGGGTGGGGGGTTGGGGGTTTGGAAACCTAAGGGCAGCGGGGAGGGGGGGGGGGCTCGGAATGTCTCGTAATATTGGTCTAAAAATGCCGATTTCAGGGGC